TCGGAGCAGGAATCACCATTAAAGTCAAGGTCACTACAGAACTGAGAGTCCAATGTGGACTCCATGGTGTTTCCAGTTTTCCCAACCTGATCTCTCTACCTCTGAACCAGAGTGTCCCCATTTCTGGGCTCTGGGGGAATTTAGAGTCTCGTTGCTTCCAGGTTGACCCCAATGAAAAATGCCTGCACTGGCCTTTCACTTAAAATTCATCTCAGTATCATATAAGGATAAGAACTGTAGTTGCAAAATGGTGCCTGTGCCCATCCAATGCCTTCCCCACCCCCACTGGCATCGAGACCCTAAAATGAATGTTCTTGGCCCTCCTCCCCACTCCTCCATCAAAGGCAATTTTCTTTTCCTCCTTCATGTTTCCAAAACAGTTTATCTTTTTATCTCCTTGGAAGAAAAGTACTCCGCAAATCAAAGGTATCATTAGTATTGTTATTATTTTGCTATTGAAATCTCTTGAATTCACTCTGGATTATTCATGTGCTTTTTTGGGTCTGCAATATAATACTGCCTAAGTCACCCCCACTGGGCTGAACAAAAAAGAAAAATTGCATCTTCAGGCCCTAATCCCCTGCTCCACCCCATCTCCTGCTGGCCCTGGCTCCTACCAACACAAGCACCCACCAGGCAGAGCTGCTCCTTGGTACCAGGCCGAGCTCGCTGCTGCCACGTTCCAAGTGAAATCCTCCTTTGTCACCCGGAGGGAGGCCCCATGGTTTCCTCTAAGTGCAATGTGAAGGCGTGGACCCTACCCAACACCCCTTTCCCCCTGGGGAGTTTCTCTGCCCTCCCCAATAATCTGGCTGGTAGCTGAGAACTCCCTGCTGGGCAGCAGACACCGGGACCACCCCACACCCCACAGACTAGCGGAGGAGTCCCAGTGCCCCTCACCCAGAAGGTCTGTGAAGGAAGCGGTCCCACACCCTTGGCAGCTGGATATCGACATTCCAAGACAAAAGAAGAGATTCTTCCTTCTCTAGACAAGACGTCATACCACTTGGGGTATTCGTGGGGGGGAGAACTGTACTTATTACTGGCCTCATCTTTTGTTAGATGACATTTCTGGGTTCAGATAAATGTTTCCAAAGTTAGTGTTCACTCCCAGTTTCTTGTTCCAATGCTTCCCTGCCTGTACCCCTTTCAATCCCCTGATTTCTTTTGGCTGCCTCCGAAATGTTCCTGCTCGTTTCTGGTGCCCTGTCCCAACACCCCCAAGAGAGCTCCTGGCAAGTTAAAGTCTCCTGCAGTGGTTCCTCTCTTTCATGCTTCCTGCCATCTCTGTGGCTCCCTTCAGCCTGGCCAGTTCTCTCCACTTGCCTCTAGTTTGTCCTTCTGTCTACTTGGAGGCTCACTTCCCGATGCCCCTCTGCTGGCCATCTGACCCTTTTGGTGATTGCTGCCAGCAAGTCAGAAGAGGATATGGCTTAGATTCTTCCCACTGGTGATAATGGCTCCCCAGATAAATCCTGAGCTCAAATATGGCACTCACGGGTAAATACAGGTGCTTATTTTCATGCCAACACACACAGAGTGGCATGGCATGCAACCCAACAAGAGGTCTGGGTTCATCAGACAGAACATTTAGACCCACAAAGTAACTAGGAAGGGAAGGGCACTCCAGTAATATGAGAGCAAAATGTCAGACAGGGGGAGGACAACACCCTTCCTGAGAACATCTGAAGTTTGTACCATGGCACATTCCCCCAACTGTCCCAGAACTCCAGATCGAGGGCAAGCAAGGTGTCTCCAGGCCTGCGAGAACATTATTCCCTCAAAGCTACTTAGAGGTGACTATGCAGGCTGGATGGAATGGGTCTTGAAGATGAAGGAAGGCACAGGAAGAAATAGTTTTGGGCAAACTGAAATGATAAAGGGAAAAAATATAGCAAGTCCTAAGTTTATGGATGACAAGAGAATCGATTCTTTTTCACCCAGGGCCTGAGCATGCCTCTTCTCTGCGGGAGGCAAATTGTGCTGTGACATTTTCCCTCTCTATACAAAGCACTGGTCCTGACAGCTGAAGGAAGAGGCATCCCCAGCACGAGAGGAACCCATGAGCACACACCCTGGCAGCTCTCCATTTCCTAGCTGGGAGTCCACCCGGGGATGTTGGCAGGGGCAGACGGAGGGATGTCATTTGACTTTTCTATGGCCACCTTAAGAAAGATAAGTATTTGAAAAGCGCAAACTGATCATACCTGCATTTCACTCTATTACGGGTCATGAAAAAAAGTAAAGGTGAGTAAATGTTTGATAAATTAAGAGAGAGGGGATGACCAGAAGGGACTTTAAGTCTTTACCTGTTTTGCTGTGGGAGCTGTTGGAGCTCTGTTTGGAGTGTTTCCTCTGGATGGGAATTGAGACAAGCAGGGCAGGAAGTGTGTGAGCTGTGTTTCCAGAAACCCCAAAATGACATGCAGGTCCCCGCTATGAGAGGTGTGGAGCAGCAGATGGGTATGTCACCTGAGGGCCAGATGATGCCCTACAGAGAAGGCTGGACATTTGTTTTCTCTGAGCTGAGGGCCATCCCTGAGTCCCAGCACACTGCCTTGGAAAGCATCCCAGTAGGAACAGCATGTGAGACATGGAGCCAGATGACTGGGGGTGGGGGGTTCTCTGTGGGGGTGCCAGGCGGGATGCAGCCTCACTTAGGGGGATGACAGCCAGTGCCATCTAGAGCCTGTGGGCTGGCCTTCTCATGACCTGTTGTAAGTGGATACACTCAACCCACTAGCTAAATAAATGCATGGCACCAGGAGGAGCGAGCACAGAATATGAACTAAGCAAGTATGTGAAGAGGTCAAATAGAATCCTTTGGGGGAATTCACAATACTCAAAACAACATCCACATTAAAATCAATGTCCACGGATCAGGTCAAAAGACATCCCATCACAATGAAGTCTGTAAAACATTATCCCACTTGACCCTTATTTTCTACAGTCAGGTGCCATCTCTTCGAGGGAACTATAGTGTCCAAGGATGTAGGGTGTTCTGACTGGCTACCTCCACTTTGATCTCATTGTCTTTCTTTAGACCTTGGATTCTTGTGTTCTATGCATCTACTATTTGGGAGGGTGGGCAGTGCTGGCCCAACCCAGAACCTTCAGGAATAACAAGGAACAGTTGCATGAGGCTGTGGTTTCTTCCTAGTGCCCTTAGGGCTAAGGGCAGATGAAACTGAGCATTTAAATTGACAGGTAAATATTTAAAGATTCATAGGAGGCAGTCAAGAAATATCTCCATACTGAGAAAAGAATAAGCAAAGTCGGAGATGCACACTTAGATGATTTAGACAGCGAGAGGCACTTAAGACACACCTATAGGTTCCTAGTGTCAATCTAGAGAAGACTCATCTCATGGCTCAGCTACTAAGAACATAAAAGACTTTAAAATGTGCACTGGCCCTATGAACATGTGTGGGGGGAGGGGCATGCTGGATCCTTGTTTTAGGGAATCTATATGCAATCTCTTGTGCATATGATTATATGTGTGCACATAAGCTAGCGTGCACACCTCCAAGAAAGAGGGTAATCTCCCAAATGGTAATATAACTCAAACTGTTTCTATACCAGTGTTCTGAGATAGTTCTTATTCATTCAGCCTGAAAACTCTAGGGAAGGCAATTTATCTTCTTGCTGCTGTAGGGAGTCCTGGTGAGAGGCACACAACCACATGCACACATGAATGTGTGTGTGTGTGTGTGTGTGCGCACATGCACATTTTAATTATAAACAGACATAACACTATCCTTACTCCTATGGAGAAAGAGTCCCTCAGGTGTCATCAGGATGGTTGTAAGCAAAGTTCAAGAAGGAAAAAAATGTGCAGTGACCACAGGGCCAGTGGAAGAGCTGAGGAAGGAGACCTGGGTTTCTGCTTACACTTGGCTTCTCCCTGGAAAGGAGACATGCTGTTTGCTTGCAAAGTCAGTCACCCATGGTGGTGCTCTGCTTTCTCAAAAACTTTTACCCTTCATTTAATCAACAGATGGACGTGCTCTGTGGTGGATTTTTTTCTGAGAGAGCCCTGTCCCTCTAAGAGCTGAGCTGGCTGGCACAAAAGCAGCCTCAGATGGCAGAGGCAGCCCTGGCATTCCAAAAGAGTGGGAAGGAACCGGTTTAGTTCTCCCCTTCAAACTCAATTCCACAGGTGACTTTGGATGCCTTTGGCTAAGCAGGCACTCACAATGCCCCTCCTGCATTTCCCATCCCTCCCTTCACCACTACCAGCCTCAGGACTCCTGGCTCCCAGTGGCAGGGAGTCCAGAGCTGGTGGCAAAGTTCTTTTAGGAACGTCCATCAGCTCCTCTGCCCCTGCTAGGCTGCAGAAAGGAAACAATCAGCACCAGGGGCGAAATTTCATTTTATACCCGGAATCCAGTGCTGTGTAGGACTCAGAATTCAGTTGTATTCAGAGAACTCAATTAAATTCAATGAAACTCTTAACAAGCTTTTCTCAACCACCGCAGATTACCCCTATGGCACATTCCGTAATTGCAGCCCCTTCTGCAACTGTGCAAACACACACATTCGCCTTTGAACACACTCATGCAAGTCAGACCTTATTCAGCCGAAATATCCACCTAAACAAAGCTCTCCTGCCCTACCCGCGCCTTCTCCAACGTGAGTCTGAGCGAGAGAGGAGGTGGCCAGAAGTTCAGGGCGGCATATCCACATAGATCCTGCCTAATTAACACACTCAGAGCATAAAGAACTCATTTGCATTGGAGAGTTTGAGCAGGATGCTGACAAGTGAGGGGAGAAAGTCATGCCCCCTCCCAAACCCCTTCCTTCCAAAGGAAAATAAACAGTACCATTTTGTTGCATTTTCAAAGGCAAAGAAGCAATGCCAGTGCCTCTCCGCCGGGCAACGAGAGACGCATCCATCAGTCGAGTTTCCAAAGCCTGCCCAGATTCCTGCTCTCAGCCTCCCGCGCCCTGACAACCCAGCCGACTTTCTTTGCAACTCCGGCAGCGCGCATGGGTCCTACCTTGACTGAAAAGGAAGAAGCAGATGAAGAGCAGATCCAGCTGGAAAGGTTTCATTCCTTAGCGCGGCGAGGGGAAGCCGGCGGGGCAACTTGGGTTTGCAGTTACTTTCTCTTGCTCGGCGGCTCGCGATGCTCAGCCTCCGCCGTGGTCCTCTCGGGTTCGCGCCGACCATCGGTCTGTCCGTGGGCTCCTCCGGGCGGCCTCCCGTCTTCTGGTGCCTCGGGGGTATCCGCAGCCAGCCCCAGACAAGTTGCCTGTTTCTAGCCGCCTCGGGAAGCTGGGATTCTCAGCGACATCCCTCCTCCGAGCAGATCCATTCTCTGGCTCTCGGCAGCCCGGGCACACAGCTTCCTCCGGCGGGCTCCTCCCACCGCGCTCGAGGGAGCGAGTGACGAGTGACAGAAGGGCTCCTTTCACTGAAGCTGGGGCGGGGGGAGAGGGAGGGGAAACAGGTCATAATTAAAGAGGAAACACTTGGAAAAGGGAGAGCTATGCGAGGCGGAGGGTGAGGGGCAGGGCTGCGTTCTTCCTTTCCCTGGCTCCCCCTCCGCACTAAATAGGGGGAAATTCAGCCTTTGTCACTATTATTGACCAAAAGGCAGGTTGAAGGGGGAGCGGAGCTGTGACTTCTTGTGCAACCGACATCATGTTGTTTAATGGGAGGGAAGTTAAGGGTGACTGTATGTAAGCACACAAATTAAAATATGCATGCCTTGCTTTGGTACCAGGGACTGGAAACTGGGCTGAAAGGGAAATAGGGGGGTGGGGGGTGCTGGTGCATCTTTCTCCAGGAAGGACTTGGTCAGTATGTGCAGAGGGAGTCTTGGAGTTGGGGAAGAGATAAGCATGCTTTGCATTTTTGAGACTTTCCTAGGAGGGTTAGGTAGGTAATAGAACCTCAACGTTTGGACCTTAGTTTGCGTTGCTCTACTCACAGAAAACAAAATGAAGGAATTGGAGGGAAAACAAGTAGATTGCTGACACGTGCCCATTTATTATTATTATTATTGTTCTGCTTTGTGCATTTCTAACAAGGATAGGGGAGCAGCTCATCTTTGCATTTGGAGTCTTGGCTCTGAGAGTATCTTTTCTCCAAGAAGTGCTGTGAATCCTATTGCAAAGGAGAGGCCAAGGTCATTGGCAACTGCCTCCTAAGAACCTTCAGGTCTTTTACCTGTCATGAAACCCACACTCAAATCAAGTGCTTTCCTCCAGGATAGCAGGGTGAATTTATTTAGGTCTATTTACTAGATAGACATTTAGATATGCCTGGCATAAACAGGGCATTGGGCAGCATAAAATCATAGACACAGACCATGCCTTCAGCAACTCGTCGTTTAATAGGGAAGCAGAGTATTCACATAAGATACAAACTATGAGGATAGTTCTGAAACAAGTATAAAAATATGCAGCATTATACAGAAGAAAGGGTGGTAATGAGTAAGGAGAGGGATATGAAAGATGCTCTCTCTCTACTTGTGTTATTCAATTATAAAATCAATCATTACTTTGTTCAGTCACTAGACCAGAGGGAAGTCTTTTGGGAATCTCTTAGGCTTTCTTCCATCTGTATTACATATTTGGGGGTCTTTTCTGGCTGCAAGGCACATTACAACTCCTAGCGTTGATGGGGATGTTAACTTTAAAAACTTATCCCTTGGTAGTTATGAACAAGAAAGAGAGAAGTAGGGGCACATGTGAAAGGGTGTGCTGGTAGGAGCTGACATGTGGTAGCTGACATCAAAGATCTACAAATTAGTAGGTGTCTGCTTTGTTGACTTTTCTATTCTTAACTTAATAGTTTATTTAACTGCATCCCTTAGAGGCTGTTAAACATATCAAAGGGAAATTTGTAAGCAAGCCTGGGGGTGGGGAAACACCAAGCAACAGAAAGAAAGAGGACCCTAAAGAGGCACCCCATCAGCTACATTCACAACAAGGCACAGAAGCAGTGTGTCAGCGCTGTCTTAATCCAGTGACGATGCAATGAAACAGAAACATACAAAAGATGAATAACAAATCTAAGAAACCTATGCCAAACGACATATTACAAAGGAACATGCAGCATGTATACTTTTGTAACTTTAGTAGTAGCTTTCTATTAAATCTATAAGAGTGGGGAGAAATTTAAGGTCTGGGTACCATTCCTAAGGTCAAGTCTTGCAATGAGTAAGACTAATAATATCAGACTGTAGATTGTACTGTATAAAGCAACATTTCTTGCTTTAACTAAACATCCTTCAAACTGCTGTTTAATTTTGATTGCTAATGCCTCAGTGGCCTGGGGCCCAGATTTGCTTAATTCAACCCCAGAGGGAAATATTACCACACCAGGGTCGTAAGCAAATGAACTGTGCAATATATGAAAATCAGGCCACGTAAGGTGTGTGCATCACACACACACACACACACACACACACACACACACACACAGAGTCACACACACAGGAGCAGATGGGTGGTGAGAATTCCGGGTTGGAAAGACCGAGTTTTGCTTTCCCACTGGTCCTGACGACTGGCCTCATGACCCACAAACTGGCTCTGCATTCCCCCAGCCAGCTGGACCTGTTCCCTGCCCCATCCCTTTGCTGCTCCACCCCCACCCCACCTGCAGCCTCCGTCCCAGGCAGAAAGGAAAATAACGCTTGGATTAAGTGGTGAGCTGCTAGCCTCTAAAAGGAACGGGAGGCGTTTCAACCCTGAGTGCCGGAAAAACCACGGCACTCTTCGGCAGCCACCACGTGGGGCGGGGAGAGCGACAGCGGTACCTGCAGGACCCACAGCCGGCCGGGCTCTGGCGCCAGCCTCGACGGCGGCCCCGCCATCTCCGCCCCGGCGGTCCTTGGCCTCACCTCCTCCGGGGGCTCGGTTAACCTCCTGGCGCTGCAAGGTGCCTGCGCGCGGTTCGCTGGCGGCTCGGAGCGGACGGCTCCACCTGATGGAGGCGCGTGGAGTCTTGGACCTGGGAGCGCGCGGCTAGGGCACCGCAGCGCCGGGAGCAGGAGGACCGCCGCCCCGGCTGGGAGCCACCTCGGGCTGCGAGCGGGGGACCCGGCCTCCGGGCAAGGCCCGTGGAGGTGCCTGCCCTAAAGAGAGAGCAGAAAACCGGCACCCTGGGAAACCGCCCGAATTCTGGTTTTCTGCACATGTAGGCGCCGGGTCTCCGTGGCGCCCACCATGCAAGCCGGGGCCCCTCGCCAGCAGGTGGCATCCTCTCCAGCGTTTCTTCTCCCGGCCTGCAGCCCAGAAGGCGGAATTCCTCAGACCCCAACCCCCTTCTCCTGGTCTTCAGTGCCTAGGGCTGTGTCCTTTGAACCACCCGCCCCCTCCCCCCCCGCCCCCCCCCCCCCCCCCGAGGCCAGGGGGCGAGAAGGGGGCTGGAGGTGGGATCGCCCAGAGCTAGATGAGGCTGGCCCCACGGAGAAGGAGCGCTGGCTTGCTGGCCAAGAAGTTTCAGAAGGACAAATCTCCACCGGGTAGTGTCCAAGTCCTGTCTGCTGGCAGCACGTCTGCCCCCGCCCCCCCCCCCACCCCCACCCCCAAATTTTTTTTTTTGAGTTGGAACACTGAGAGTATGACACCAGGTTGTGGGTCCAGGTGCAGGAATGTAGGAGCCTGAAGACGCTGACTTCATGCAGACCCTGGCACGCCACAGTCAGATGTCTGTGACATGCCTTATTCCCTCTTTGTGCAAAAACCTGTTTGGGGTACTTAATAAAGACATATGGAGTGACCCCGAGAATTCCTGTTTCTGAGTTTGTCCCACACCCGTGTCAAGTATACATATGTATAGACATGAAAAAATTTTTCATGAAACATCTCGTTGACTTTTTAATAAGACAGAAATTGCCCTGGAGGTCATCGGTCATGCTTCTCTCTTTCTAGATGAATCCTTCCGAGCCCACTTGCCTGAGGCCCTACAGGAAGCTGTAGAACTGGGATGTAGCACTGGGTCCCAGCAGTCCCTTGTCCTGCCCTCCTCAGTCTCTGGCTCTTGGTGCCCTCCTGGGCTCACCGGCTCACTGGCTCTCTGTGTTCTGGCTCCAGGTGCCCTCCTGGGCTTACTGTCTTTCTCTGTGCAGGAGGTAATTTACCACCAGTGTGGGGTGGGGGTATGCAGAGAGGCGCTGTTTTATGAGCTGGGTGGCCACTGTGTGTGCAGTTTCCTGCTTAATGCCTCTTCACAATATTTGTTGCACAGCTACATTATAAACCACATTTCCTTTCGTTTTTCATCTATCCTGCCAGTACTGGTTAAAACCTCCTTGTCCAGGGATTTAAACACATTTCCAATAGCCCCCTCCTGGGAGTTCAGTGTAATCTGACTCTCCCATCCTGGATAAGTTAATAAGGGCTCCCAGCTACATCTACTTCCCGAGACCAAATGGTCTTCAGAGGTCCTACCTGGGTGGCAGCCTGTCTGACCTGGGCAGTCACAATCTTCTAGCCTATTTCTTTTTCATTTATCTGAACAAATTTCTTGCTCACATCCCTGTAGGTGGATTATAAGACCTTAACCCCCGTTCACTGTGATCTGTCTCACCACAGAAGTGTGAAAGGCACAAAGAACCAGATGTTTGGCTTTTAGCAGTATCCCCCAAAGGCAAGATGAGTCTGCCCACCCACCCTCCCAAGGCCAGGAGTGAGTGAAGGGGTCGTGGGCAGAATTTTGGTCTGGGCTGCCACCTGGAAACTGCCAACTCATGTAGCCACTTCAGGAAACTGAGCATATCTTTCTTCATCTATAAAATATTGGCAGGAGGGAGACAGTGACTATCTGGGTTCCCTCCCAACCCTAAAATCCTGCGTCTGTTTTCCAGAGGCCACCCTTCTCAGCTTGGAGAGGCTAGACGTGCTTCCCCAGTGCCTTCAGTGGCTGTCTCCCACCTCCAGGGAAACAGGTGGCAGCCCTGGAAACTGCATGGACCCCCCAGCTCTCGTGAGTTCTGACTTTTCCCCAAACTGTTTTACATTCATTTTGCATCGAGTGCCCTTCATCTTTTCTCAACTTGGGATTTCCCTCCTCTCGTGGTTTGTCCAAAATCAGGCCTCATATCCACCCTGTGGCCTGGTTCTGGGAAAATGTTCTGGGTTCCAGAACCAATTTTATTCAATGTACATTCTATAATTGCACGGGATGCCAAGCTTTTATGACAGCAAGGGAATGATGTTATCAGGGTGGCTAGTTGTAAAGACTCCCTTTCAAGACAAGAAGGGCCTTGGCAATCTTATATTTTAATTCAATCCTCACGGGATTCATGGGTGGCTGTAACATGTGTCTGTCACCTCTGTGTCCTGGCAGCTCCACCAGGGCATAAGCCGCATCACAAATGTGCCCCAGCTCCTACCCGGGTAGGCAGCAGGCACTAGGTACACACTGCTGAATGAATGGTGGAGTTTTACCTAGTGCCCCACATCCCATTTCCTGTTTTTTGAATGCAATTTCATGTATTCTTCA